AGCTCCGACAGCTGGAAACCAATTTTTTGAAAATTTTTACAACTTCAGTATAACTTTTTAACTTTTTATAACGCTATTGATAATTTCAGTATAGCAATTAACAACAGGTTTTTTTGGGAAATTCAAAAGTTTCGGCGACTGAAAATAATTTTTTGAAAATTCTTACAATTTCAGTATAGCAGTTAACAACAGGTTTTTGAGTTTGTTAATAGCATTACTAAAGTTGTAAAAATGCTACTTTTTGAATTTCTCAAAAAACCTGTTGTTAATTATTATATCAAAGTTGTTAATAGAATTACAAAAGTTGTTAACTGTTAAACTGAAGTTGTAAAAATTTTAAAAATAAATAGTTTGTTAAAGTTATAAAAATGCCTTTTTTTGAATTTTTTTTAAAAAACCTGTTGTTAAATGCTATATCAAAGTTGTTAATAAAGTTACAGAACTTGTTAACGATATTACTGAAGTTGTAAAAATATACTTTTTGAATTTTTTGAAAACTTGTTGTTAACTGATATACTGAAATAACATTATAAAAGTTGTTAACCGTTATATTGAAGTTGTAAAATTTTTTTTAAAAAAAAAGTAGTTGTTAAAATTGTAAAAATGCTATTTTTTGAATTTTTAAGAAAACATGTTGTTAAATACTACCTCCAGTCTTTCTTAATATAAGACCCTATTTGACTTTTTGTTTGGTTCTAATTATAAGACCCCAATCCATTTTTCTCTCATATTTATGTATTTTTTTCCAAGATAGTCCTTCTAATAATGATAGTTCTAGCCAATACACTTAATTAGCAAGGATATTTTAGGAATGACAACACTTATTTATTACAAATAACTACTTAACTTACTTCCTTAATCTCCTCAAATAAGTCAACTGGGTCTTATAATTAGGACCGAGGTAGTACTATATAGAAATTGTTAATAGAGTTATGAAACTTGTTAACGACATTATTGAAGTTGTAAAAATACTACTTTATGAATTTCTCAAAAAAATTTGTTGTTTTGTTTTACAAAAGTTGTTAACCATTAAATTGAATTTATAAAAAAATTTCAAAAAAAATTGTTTCCAGCTGCCGGAACCCCACGACCAATTGTTGAATTTTTTTGAAAAACCTGTTGTTAACTGATATACTGAAGTTTTTAATACGTTATAAGAGTTGTTAACTGTTATACTGAAATTATAAAAATTTTCAAAAAATTGTTTCCGGCAGCCGGAGCTTGTTGAATTTCCCAGAAAACCTGTTGTTAACTGCTATACTGAAGTTGTTAATCACATTACAAAAGTTGTTAACCGTTATACTGAAATTGTAAAAATTTAAAAAAAATTGTTTTCGGTCGCTAAGCAATTATTGAATTTCTCAAAAACCTGTTGTTAACTGATATACTGAAATTGTTAATAGCGTTACAAGAGTTGTTAATTGTTATACTCAAGTTATAAAAATTTTCAAAAAAAATGTTTCCGGCAGCCGGAGCTTGTTGAATTTCCCAGAAAACCTGTTGTTAACTGCTATACTGAAGTTGTTAATAGCGTTACAAAAGTTATTAACTGTTATATTGAAGTTGTAAAAATTTTTAAAAAAATTATTTCCGACTGCCAGAGCTCCGGTGACCAATTGTCGGCTGGTTGTTGGAGCTCCAGTGACTGCCGCCACCAGAGCTTCGGCGATTGGCCGACCAGTGGGGGCTTTGGTATTTTAAAAATAATACATAAAATAAAGGACAATTTGGTCTTTTCATTTGATAAGATAATACTAATTTGGTCTCATATGACCAAATGGGATTTTACAAGTTCAGCAGACGTTCTGGTCATTCCCAAATTAACATGTCATTTTTTTGTCTTTTTCCCTTTAAAATACAGGCAATTCGGCTCTTTCATCATAATTCATAAATACTTTACCACATTTCTAGTGAACCTCGCATCAATTTGTAATATTCATGATTATAATATTTGTATATGATCCCTATTCTGTGGCCAAAATTCTAATAATCGACGGCCAAAAAAAAAAGGGTCAAAATTCTAACGTTTGGAAATAAGAAGGAAAAATTTCAAAAAAATACCTTTAAAATTTTTCAAATTCTAAACCAGAAAAGACTACAAAAATGTGTTATTATTTGTTTTTTTAAATATTGTTAATTGTTATTAAAGTGTAATCAATAAGATTAATTTAAATTTTAGAATTTAAAGGGTTTTTTTCTTGGATTCTCCTTTTTGAAAGGTAGTCTATTTATCCTATTGTGTCGAATTGTGGGACTATATTTTTTGTTATTATTTGGAATGAATATGCCAATTCAAAAGATATTTGATGTTTAAATACTACATCTGATTTTTATATAAAAGTCCATGGGAGATTTAATATGGTTTTAAATAGCAAGACTGTAAACCACTTTATTTCAAATATTTATTCTCTATAATAATTATACACGTTAAAGAGTTTTCATCAAAGGTAGTTTTAAACTTTCAACACATTGATGAAGTATTTTAAGAAAAAAATATCTATTTATTACAAATAATTAATTTACATATTTTTTTAATATTTGTAAATTAGTTATCTAGATGTTATATTAAAGTTAAGAAGTATTACCTCTGATCCTTAATATAAACCTTGTTTAATTTTTATTTTGATATTAAATATAAGACCCTAATTCAACTTTGTCTATCATATTTATACTTTTTTTTCTTTCCAAATTGGTCTTTTTAACAATGATAATTATAACCAATACACTTGATTAGCAAGGATATTTTTGGAAAGATAACATTTATTTATTACAAATAACTAACTCAACTTACTTCCTTAATCTCTTCAAATTAGTCAACTGACTCTTATAATTAGGACTGAGGTCTAAAAATATTCTTGCTAATCAAGTGTATTGGTTATTTGGAGAAAATGCATAAATATGATAGATAAAGTTGATTAGGGTCTTATATTTAGGACCAAAATAAAAGTCAAATAATATCTTATATTAAGGATCGGACTGGAGGTAGTATTATTTATAACAATGACAATTTTTTAACAAAATCATAAATATCACGACTTATTTAATTTAAGAAATATATTCTTAAACTTTCCAAAATTCCAAGATAATTGTTCAAACATTGTCGTCAATTATAAAATATAAAATGCATAACAAAATAAAATCGTAATTTCGTAAAAACAAAAAGAAAGAGGAAAATAATGTCAGTACTCCGCATTTTGTACAGAAGCCAAGTAAATAGTGGCTTCTGCGTTTAAGTTTGGCTGTCTGAAAGAGCGGAACAAGGCTATCTGAGCTTCTTGCTGGCCTGCAGCGTCTCAACTCTCATCGCTTTCAACCGGAGATGATTAGCGGGGGTGTATGCAGTTTCCGAATGTGTTGCTCGCATCTCCATTGCTTCTCAGAGAAATCTCTACTCCGACCAGCTCGGTTCTCTTTCACTTGCCGCCGCCGCCGCCTTTTGGCCACCGCATCCTCGTTTTCTGGCGCCAATAAGAAGGACACCAAAGAGAAGGTCATCGTCATTTCTGGCCCCACTGGGTCTGGTAAAAGCCGCCTTGCTTTAGAGCTGGCGAAGCGGCTCAATGGTGAAATTATCAGTGCGGATTCTGTCCAGGTAAGCTCTGAATAAAAAGACAACATCTTCGTATGACTTTCATACATTTCCACTTTCTTTCTTGGCGTGAGGTGAAATAAAATGTGGAAAGCATCAGACGTAGGTTGACTTGATGGCTGCGGGAGGTTTCTCTTGTATAATGAATATAGGGAAAGTAGAAGGTTTGAGAATTTTGGAGAGTACTGCCTGGTTAATGGATAGGGAAGTCATTCATGTAGAAGAAAGATGAATAACAGTTTAGGTGTCATTGCTTAGTGTATGTGGCAGTTCAGGGATAACGGAGGCGGTCTGGAATCATGCTCTATTTATACGGGAAGATTGATTTTCCCCTCTGTTTCAACTCGCAATTCTTGTGTTTTTTCACCTCTTACAAAAAAGAATTAACATACATTTTAACTGAATGTGAACTGTTAAGTGAAAAGTTATTTCATGGTTACTGAAAAAGTGTTGCAGTCTAATTTTAAAGGCTAAGACGTATTTTACTAGTGTCACTATGGTTTTCCATTTTCCAGCTTCAGACAGTCAAACCTTCCCCTTTTGAAACATAGCCCTTTCTTAAAATGTGGAACTCATGAGGATAACTATTGAATTCAACCTCATTATATAATCACTCGATTTATCCTGTTATCAAGCAGTTAATTGTCGAATAATGGAACCACAGAGGTCATTTATGAAAGGATCAAGTTGGAAGGGGTTGTTTCATTTTAGCCAGTAAAAAATCTGAGTGGACAAATGGTTCTCTGCTTATTTTTTCCCCTGTCTGTTTATTCAAACAAACCACGATACAGACACTAAAGTTATTTTGATTGTTAAAAGGAAAGTGGCATTATGGATGCCCTTTAACAATTCAGGGATATGGAAAATGAAAAAGTTACGAGGATGCTGATAATCAATTATAGATGTCCTATTATTGGCACTGACTTCATAGTCTCCAACAGAACAAGTCTTTGCATCACTTTGGGCTGTATTTATTCAGATGGCTTGTATTGCAGGTGTACCAGGGTCTTGATGTTGGATCAGCAAAGCCCTCCAAAAATGATAGAAAGGTCACTATATGAACAATATTATACTCCTTCACTAGCTTCTTTTAAGAAAACTTTGTCCGTCATTGAATTTGGAGCCCAGGTGTGCCTGATTGGGCAATTTGTTGATGCATCTTAGATGTGTTTCTTGGTACTGCATTATCTATAGTAAATAACTGCTCTTAGGAAACCCCCTTCCGCTAAAGGAGGACGACCCATGATTTTTGAGACTTACTAGTTACTTATATGCAATGCATATTTTATAGTGATGCGACTAAGCTTCCCCCTCCCCGCAAATCAAGATTTTGCATGTGAGTTTCCAGAGTGTGCTTTTGCTAATCCATTATGTTATTCGTTGAATTATTAGATTGCAAATGTAATGGAAATTATTTGAAAATTTTTTTTTCCTTGTTTTTTCACTTTTTGCCTCGTGGCTTCTCTTATCAGGAAGTACCGCATCATCTGGTTGACATATTGCACCCATCTGAAGGTGTGTTTCATTGTTGATTGACTATATTTATTTTCCCAGTGCACAAACAATATATGATTGTGCTCATATACATTATTTGTTATATAAATGTGCATTTGCTTATTGACTTCACTGGTAAGTCTTAAAAGAATTTAGGATGTTTTCAAATAAAATTATTTATCTTCTGTCAGATTATTCTGTGGGGCGATTTTTTGAGGATGCAAGGCAAGCTACAAGATGCATTCTTGATAATGGTCACGTTCCTATTGTTGTTGGGGGAACTGGATTATACTTAAGATGGTATGTCCTTCCCAACCTCTTGTTCTGATTGAGTAGGTCGCTTGTTCTGTCATGTAAAACATTTCAGTTATTGCAACTTTTTAATCAAAAGTAGGGAAATGAAGCCCAATTTTCTTGTGCCTCAACCTGTACATTGCCTTTCTCAAAAAGACTCTGTTGGCCAAAGCCCAAAGAAACATGATCATCAATTCTTTCATTGATCTTTCTTGAAAATTGGTCTTTGGCTGACCATGGGAGTTGCCTTCTCTATTTCTGTTGTGTCTCTGTCAGCAAAAGCTACTTCCCTCCGTAAATTTTGTTTTTAATATGCCAGCAGTCATGTCGGTTTTGCTTTTGTTGAAATAGATATGTAGCTAAAGGTTGTCTTCGACTGGCTTTTGTGTGGTAAATATTTTTGTTAGATGCTGCTATATGGGCATCAAATACTTCATCTGAATATTTTTCCTGCATCATACAATTACATTGTATGATTTTATTTTCCGTAGGTTGTTAGAAACTAGATTATGTTGCATATGGTTTCCTATTAATCTTTCATTTGAACTTTGAAATATAAGGTTCATTTATGGAAAGCCTGATGTCCCCAAGGCCTCTCCAGAGACTACATCTGAAGCGTATTTGGCTTTGGGTGAGTTAGAGAGAAATGGGCAATGGGATGCAGCTGTGCAGTTGGTTGTAGAAGCAGGTGACCCAAAGGCACAATTTATAACTCCCAATGACTGGTATCGATTGCGACGAAGCCTTGAGATTATTAAGGTAGTTTCGTAGTTTGTTTCGAGGGAAATTTGAATTCTCCTCCCTGACCACGCTTTTTTTTTTGTTGAGAATTTCATACCTGTTCTAGAAGAATAAAGGAAATTATCTTCATATGAAGTTAACGTTTCTCCTTTGGTCCACCTGTCTGTCTGTTCCTGCCTTACTTGTTTGTCATACAATGAGATTATCAAAATATCTACCTCAACGCCGTCCTGTTATGTATTTTCGGTGTGGTTATTTCATACTGCATTACTAAGTTGTGTTGGGGTACAGGTACTAGTATATTGTTTCACCTTTTTATTAATATTATTTTGGAATGGCAGTCTAGTGGATCACCTCCGTCTGCTTTTGGGGTACCATATGAATTTTTCAGGGAACAGGGAGATGCTAGTGTTATGGACAACTCTGGCTGTTCTGATGGCAATGCTAATTGCGCTGGAATGAAAGAAACATCCTCAAATTTGGACTATGAGTTCATGTGTTTTTTCCTTTCTACGCGAAGGCTTGACCTCTATAGATCAATTGATTACCGCTGCGAAGATATGCTATTAGGTAAATCATTAATTGTTAATCAATATGATTTCTCACTGTTTCAGTTGTGAACCATATATATACATGTGCGTGCGCATGTGTGTGTATCTTTACTATTTTTAACGAACTTCTATTTTTCTTATGGTGGACATTATCAGCATTTTGTTGGTTACAAATAATCATTCTCTCTTCCTTCCTAGTGTGGTTATTAATGGTTTGCATATGTGCATGTGCACATCTGTGTCTATGTGGGTTTCCTTAGCAATACATGCTGCATTTTGTCCTTGATGTACATAAATATGAGATTTTGTTCTCTTCGGCTGCAGAGAGGGATGGCTTATTGTCTGAGGCTCAATGGCTTCTTAATGTTGGTCTTCATCCTAATTCAAATTCAGCGACAAAAGCAATTGGTTACAGGCAGGTATACCTTTTGGTTATACATTTCTCTTTGGATATTTTGCACTTGACAAACACTACCTGCGTCTAACCATGCTTATATATTAATGTGAACCAGGAATGACTATCAAGCTTATTGCATCATAGGACCTTTACCATTGACTGATTATACAATATGTTTGCTTGACAGCAGGAATAGATCTTTGATTAAACTCCTAGAGGAGGGGAATCAAAAAATAATAACATGCTTGTTTGCATATAAAAATGGACTTATCGGTCTTGTTTGGTGTTGGACTCTTGGGTTTATTTACATTCACTCCTTGAGTAGCTTCTTTGTAATTGGTCAATAAATATATATTAGTCATCCTTTGTGGTCATGTTTATCACTAATTTAGGCGTTTTATTATCGAGAATAAGAGGTAAAGATATTTTTATTTGTAGTTCAGAACATGAAAGAAGAACTAAGTGACAAATGACTGGTTTAGATTTTTGTGTCCTGAATGGACGTCTGTGTGCTTATTCAGGTGAACTCAACAAGATGACAAGAAATTCATATTTATTAAATTGAACTTAAAAATTTGCTCGTAGTGAGAGAATTGGAAAATATTAAATTGAAATAATAATGAATAAAGCTTTAGATTATAATGATATATAACAAACGAGCATCCATAACAAAAGGGCAGGGAACACCTCCTTGCCCCTCTCTAGCTCCATACATGCTTGACAGTGATATTTCCCAAGTTTTTTTTTCCCTGTTAACGTTTCTTAGTTCTTTCCACTTGCTTCTTGTACCTGCCGAATAGATTGATGCAGTGATTCCTTCTCACATTTTGCTTATATGATTCACCGTATTAGGCCATGGACTACTTAGTAAGATGCAGAGAGCAAGGGGGTCAGAGTTCAGTTCGAGAATTCTTCTATTTTTTAACTGAATTTCAGAAGGCATCTAGGTATGTGTTTTTAAAGATAGATGTAACAAGATTTTATCTGTTTTATATATTATATAAAAGATTACATTCTTTCCTATATTTATTTTTCTTGATTGAAGAATGCTGACAACTGAGCCCCCCCGGGGCGGGCAATCAGTCATGTTTTTCCTTTAGTGGGGAACTTTTTGCATGCTCTGCTTTGTTGGGAATATATGGGAGGTCTCAAATACGGTGTGCTTTGGCCAAGTTTGAGGACTTAAGGGGAATATAGGGGGATGCCTTCTGTCTTGGGTCTATGGCCAATTGAAATCGCTTCCCTTGGACAGACAATAGAATATTGCGAGAGAGAAACAACACTTCAATTCTCAAAGCTGCCATTCCCAATAAATAAATGATAAAAATTGTCTTTTCCTGGATCTTGGTTCATTTTGTAATCATATTTCCTAAAACATTCATTGGCTAGTTTCCCATGAAACTTTCATCAGGGGCATTTGCATTCCTGCTTGCTTCCATGCTACTCTTGTAGACGAGCCATTTTTTGTGAGAAAGAACCTGTTGATCATGAGATATGCTTTTCATGCTCATTGATGGATGGCAACTTCTTGATTAATAGTAAACGGATTTTGATATGGGATTTTATATAGAACTTCTCTTTATCAAAACTTGGTAGGTTTATCCGATATAATGTGGATGGTGTTCTTCAATTTAGCGTCTATATGGATCAAGAGGGTTTAAGGCCATGTAAGAATGATTTTTAGTTTGAAGTATGCCCTTTTCCCTAATGGCAGGAAATGATGAATATTGAACCTTCTGAACAAATGTTATTGGATCGTATTGCTTCTATAGTTGGGTTTTCCTAGTTAGGTGCAGTCACTGGAAGGCCTTTGTTTGTGAAAATGTCCTTGTTTGTGGTTACTCTTACATTGATGTATTCAAGTGACGAGTCCACCACAGCTCTTTTGGCATAGTGGATCGTGAGGTGCTAATTTCAGTTGAACTTACCGTGTACATTTTCATGCAGGAATTTTGCCAAAAGACAGCTGACATGGTTTCGAAATGAACATATATACCACTGGCTTGATGCTTCTAGACGTCTGGTATATTTATTTGATTTTAGTTTATTTCCATTTTGCCTTTTACCATAACATAGGAGGCGCATGCTTTTCCTCTTAGAATCATGGGGCACACAGTAAACTCGTCAGGATAAGATCTTTCATCTTATTATCTCAGAGATTTCCAAAGTTGTTTATTGTCTTGAATGTTTGTTGTGGTTTTCTTCTGCATGTGTTCCCTTATCTGTCAAATAAGCTTTGTGGTTCATAATCTTGCTCTGGACAACTTATTGGCAGGACACCATTCTAGACTTTATCTACAGATCTTACCATGATAACACTGGAGCTGTCATTGTTCCTGAACACTTGAGAATGTCTAGAGATGCTTCTAACGGTCGAGAAGCTAATGAACTAAAGGCCTACCGCAGCAAAAATAGGTATTATATATATTTTTAAGAAGACGAAATGACGACAATATCCTTTTCCTTGCCTCTCATCTTTGACAGTCAATTTATTGCGTAGGCTTTTCTTGAATAAAGACGATTGCTCTCCTGTTCTGGAGTGGATAAGGAGAACTCAAGGCTGAATTTTGGGTTCTCTTGAAGTTGCCTCAATTTTGACATTACACAGAGAAACACAACAAATCTTTTCAGTTTGAGCAGAAAGGTCTGTCTTGAATCTTGATTGCTGCTACTTGAATGCATTTTTTTCCCTTTTGGGTTAGAAGTTGCATTGTGTTTCCTAATATAACATAAAGCAGCTAAGACTGTATATGGGCAGAGCAGGGCAGCGCTTGTTGGGCCATCAGGCCACTTGCACAACCCTATATAGCATACGAGAATATCTGGATTCCTATTTTAATTTGTAACCAGTGAATTACATTTTAAAGCAATATGCTTAAGAGACTCGTATATTTGTAAACTTGATCCAATTTCTTCTGTTTTCTTATTTTCTCTTCCTTTTTTCTTCCATAGGGACCTTGAAGAGCGGCAGAGGCAGCGCAGGGAAAATAGTGTATGCGTGTGTTTTCTTGGGTTTCATTTCCTTCCCTCGAAGAGTGAGCAAGAGACTACAAGGGAGAAAGGAATGTAAGGGAAACTTTTGTATGTAATTAGTTTAAATTTATTTTAATGCTACTGGTTTATGAATGAGAATATTCCATTTAACATGCTTGGGATCTTTTAATTATTTTTTAATAGGTTGGCCCAAAAAAATTCTCATACAAGGATATACTGGACTTTTTTTTTCTTTTTTCTTCTTGCTTCATCATAGAAATATGCTCATATTGAGACCTTTCGATTTGCCTTGATTAGATAATGAGGGGGCACCCTTCCTTTTTTTTTGGGGGGGGGGGGGTTAAATAATCAAATTATGAGAATGCAACTGAACAAAACTAAAACAGTCTTTCAAATTAGATCATGAGACCTATCGAAAATAAATTTGGGCAACTTTAACATATCTTTTTAATGGAAATCATTTGTTTTTCTTTCTTGCAAAAAAGGGGAAATCATTTTTTCTTTTCTTGAACAAAAAAAAAAGCTCCTTTCTCAAAAAAGAAATCGGAAAGGATAAGAAGATTCCACTATCCACCACCGCATAAACAAAGCTACACGGATTTCAACGGCTATTCATCTTTCTGATTTCATGGTTTAGTCAAACAAATAAACAGGTGAGATTTTTTTTTTTACAGGTATAAAAAAATTCAATTGAAATGATATGGCAATTGCGGGTTTGATAACGGATTTGTAAAGATTAAAAAGTTAATCAAGCTCTTTGTATTTAAGATGTTTATGTTGATGTTTCTAAGGTATCTCTTTAACCATTTGCAATAATTTCATATAAAAACTCTTATTTAATATTCTCTCTGTTCTTTATTATAAGAGACATTTGATGTTTATAGCATGTTCCCATACATAAGAAACATTTAAAAGTTGTTTCTATTTTTTTATATTGATTTTCTATTTTATTCCTATTTATTTTGTCTCCAACTCATATTCCCTCTCCCTCTCACTTCTTTTTTTTTAATAATTTAATTATTCTCTCTCACACTCTTTCTCCTTATTAATGTAGGCATTGTTGGAAAAAAACATTATACTTTTTACACATTAATTGTCCTCAATTAATTTTAACTGGTTTTTTTATCAACATAATTTGGTTATTTATCTTTTATAATAAGGAACGGAGGAAGTATATGTAATTAGCAAGAATAATTTTAAAAAGACATTTTAAAAATAAAGTGGCAATATATTTAATATGAAAATAAATTTTTTTAATTAATTCATATACTCAACATTGGAACTTTGAAGGAGTATTACAAGGCATTAATCACTCCTAATTAAATCCTTTTTTTTAGGGCCAAAGACACTACTAGTTAAATCCAATTTTCTAAATTAATAAAACGTGATAAAATGTCGTTTCAGATTTTTTTTTGAGGTATTTCTCCTGGACCGGAGCCGGGAAACGTTGCTGCCGCCAGCTCATGAGCCCTAATAAATAAATAATAAGTGGAGCAAGAGTCACTTCCTCGAGAACTCCTTCACTCTAACCTTGCACTGCAACATTCTCTCTCTCTAGCTTTCCGTTTGTTTCCTGAGAAAGTTCGGAGAGAAAATGATGAAGCCCTCGATGCTCAGATCCCTCCACTCTGCCCTTTCTAGGGGTTCTTCCCACCTTGGTCGTCGTAGCTATTCGTCCGAATCCGTTCCCGAGCGGAAGGTGGCTGTCCTCGGAGCCGCCGGTGGTATCGGTCAGCCCCTTTCTCTGTTGATGAAGCTAAATCCTCTTGTTTCGAGTCTATCCCTCTATGATATTGCCGGTACTCCCGGGGTCGCTGCTGATGTCAGCCATATCAACACCAGATCTGAGGTACACTATCCTCTGGGGCTTACATCTTTATGGGCAGTTATTAAAAAAAAATCAAGCTTTGATTTAATGGATTCTTCAAATGTTTTTGTGCAATTATATAAGGTCTTTTATGTGTTCGAATTTTAGGTGGCTGGATACCAAGGTGAAGAAGAGCTTGGGAAAGCTTTGGAGGGATCGGATGTTGTTATAATCCCTGCTGGTGTGCCCAGAAAACCCGGCATGACGCGTGATGATCTGTTCAACATTAATGCGGGCATTGTCAAATCACTTTGCTCTGCTATTTCTAAATACTGCCCCAACGTGAGCGTTGATTTTCTTGAACTGCTTTTGATGCTTTTCTTGTATACTTATCGATAATTGTTGCATTCTACTGTCAATATTATTTCTTTTTGAAATTTCACCTGGGGCAAACTATATTTGGTCCATAGAGTGAATGAGAATCTGAGTGTGATCCTTATCGGTTATGAAGCTATGAATGACGTGAACGTCTGTGTTGAAGATATGGACTTTTGATTTGCGGCTTTCATTTAATGCACAGCAGTTTGTTACCTACACATCAAATTTTTAAGTTGTGAAAAATGTTAATAATTTGCTCTGAAGATTAGACATTTCACTCAAATGGAAATTTAGTTTTGAGAATTTGAGATGTTATTATAAGCGTGCAATTTGAATCATTTGACTTTAAAATTATGTAACTGCTTAATTTGATGTTGAATTTCTGTGCATGCAATCAGGCCCTTGTTAACATGATTAGCAATCCTGTCAACTCCACCGTTCCCATTGCTGCTGAAGTTTTCAAAAAGGCTGGGACATACGACGAAAAGAGGTTGTTTGGTGTTACCACCCTTGATGTTGTTAGGGCCAAAACTTTCTATGCTGGGAAGGCCAAAGTTCCAGTCGCTGGTATGTTGACACTGGGGAACTTATTACTTCTTATATTTTGTTTGGTGCCACTATTGTTATATTCTGACAAAGACAGAATTTGCAAAACTTGGTCAGAGAATTTTGAAGTCAAATTTATATGTTCAAGGTTTGCAAAGAGTGACAACTCATCTCAAGAAGAGAGTCTGGAGATTGCCTTCCTTTCTTTGGGCTTTTTTTTGTTTTTGTTTTGGGGGGGGGGTGTGTTGGATTAGACGAAGGGGATTTTAAGGGTTAAGTTGCTGTCTTCCTGAGCTTTATGATTTGAACTCTGAAAGTCAAATAGTGATTGAGATGTTCTTCTATTTTCCAAGAGTTAAAATTGTATTAATGGTTCTTAACCATTGATTTGGAATTGTGCTGCAGATGTCAATGTGCCTGTTGTAGGTGGCCATGCAGGCATTACTATTCTTCCATTATTTTCTCAAGTACATCCTTTCTCTTTTAACTCAGTTTACTAGCTTTGACTGTTTACATCTAGGTAGATTGTCTACCTTGTATGATCTTGCTAACATTCTAACTCCATTCACTTTTATAGGCAACACCTAAGGCCAATCTGGGTGATGATGACATTAAGGCTCTTACAAAGCGAACACAGGATGGAGGAACAGAAGTTGTGGAAGCTAAGGCTGGAAAGGGTTCTGCAACTTTGTCAATGGCGTAAGTGTGGGACTAACCCTTCAATTCACATATTGACAGTATATTTTATTTTGTTACTTGGGAAGACAGTTATTTAGTGTCGTGCCAATGTTCTCTAGTGTTAGAAGTTCATGTACCTTGAGATCCCCGACTGATTCTTTTGCAATTCTTGCAGTTATGCTGGAGCCCTTTTTGCTGATGCTTGCCTCAAGGGTCTTAATGGAGTCCCAGATGTAGTTGAATGCTCATTTGTGCAATCCAGTGTCACTGAACTTCCTTTCTTTGCTTCCAAGGTCATTGGACTGTAACACCTTTTCTGCCCCTTTATTTTCTATTTTTGTTTTTGTTTTGTAATTTCACTGTTCTAATACTTGAAGTTCATGCTATTGATTATACACGGACATGGTCCTCTTACCATTTGTTGAAAATGCTGACCTTGGTTGGTACGCTTTGTTATTGTTATTGATAAACATGTTGAAATCTTTGCAGGTGAGACTTGGGAAGAATGGTGTGGAGGAAGTCATGGGTTTGGGTCCGCTTTCAGATTATGAAAAGCAAGGGCTTGAAAGTTTATTGCCTGAACTGAAGGCATCTATTGAGAAGGGAATCAAGTTTGCCAACCAGTGAGCTTCAATGCGGAAATCAAATTTTGTAATTCCAGGACCATTCTTGTGTGTTGCTGGCAGTTGTGGCAGCTTTGTTTTATTTAGAGTAGGTATACACCTTGAGTAATAATGATTTCTAGGAGAGCAGTTTGTTACTCAAGTTATCGATCATAAAACCAGTTTAGGCTGGCCATTCTTAAAGACTGGATTGGTCCACATTTGCTTCATGTACGATTTCATATAATGCAATTGCGGGGTATCATACCCGTTTCTGTCATGTTTCTTTTTTTTTTTTTTTGTATTAAGCGTTGTTGGGGAAAGATGATTTTTCCATCCTATGCAGAGCCCTACCGTCACGTGCCAGGTACCACCATGTGTTCTCGTCTCGGCACTATAGCTACCGCTATTACAATGAGAACAGCCACTATCCCCATTGCACGTTATGACATTACACTGCTACCTCATTTGATTTTTCCGTTCTATGCAGAGAATGCGTTGTTAACTTGTAATATTTTATTATACTTCTGACCCTAAATATAAGAGGAGTTAATTTATAGTACAAATTGTATTCCAAACTATCTTTTATATTTAAGACTATAGGTAGAATGTTAAAACTAAAAGTCAATCACACTTCTACATCTACTGTCTATTGAGATGAATCTGAGCTCTCAGTTTGATTGCGAGACTGAGCAACAGCACACATAAAAGATCCGAGGCCCTTGATCAGTGTGATATGTGTCCATAACTAGGTTCACAACTTGCAAAACTGAGTCTAGGCTTTGACTCAAAACTACTTTTGACACTATGGCACGCAAACCAAACTTGGACTGACCTCCAAAAGCCACTAGCACGTGAAAGCATTAACGCCTGGGCACAAGAATGATGAACTAAATGGGGCTGAGTGATAATTGCTACATCCCGCGCACAATCTTTTACTGTGATGGGATTTCCAAACTTTGCTCTTGAAACTGCTGGTATGAAAGTCCAGTGAGAAGCCAAAAGTCCTTTGATATGATTAAGAAAATTTTGCCATATTCGGAGGATTCTGGATAGCATAATATTGATTGAACATTCAGGCTTGGAGGCCAGGTAATATGAAAACTGAGTATGAATTATAGTTGCTAGAGACTAACAAAAGGAGCTAACTTCTGAGCGAACAACAACACTATTAGTCTATTACGCCCTATGACGAGGTAGCAACAATATTCATCTATAAGGAAACATATTGCCCAAAATACGCACGCATGCATTTTCATCATCTATGTTTTGTAATTTGTTAGAGATTATTTAGGAATACATTGAATGAACAATTTATAAAAACAGTACGGCACAGCACTATATGTTGGATTTTAGAGACACTGGAGGCAACAATTAGAGCTAGGCTTACGTATTGCAGAAGAAGGGCATGGCTTGCCAGGAATATGCAAAGCTAGTCTTCAGTGCAGCCAAAATGATTTCAGGTCGTTGCATTGGAACATTTTAGGTGAAAAGATTGAGTCTGATCAGATATGAACTGGATCAGAACAATGATTCTTAGACACAGCCATTTCTTAGCATCAAAGTCGACCCGGTTATACCGACAAAAGTGTGGACAAATGCTTTGAAATTCAAATCAAGAGCTCAATCACTGAATTTGTTTTTGGAGCTGCTTAAGTCACCATGCTAATCATTATTTAAAGGGAAAGGATAGAACAGATAAACCTTATGCTCAATTATCTGCATAATCTTGGGCTTTAAGAGAATTGTACCGTGCCTGTAACCTCATCTGCGGCAATCTTTACCTCAGTGTAGGAAATTAATCCTTATTTCTAGAACTTGCGACAGAATTTTAATAAGGTTTAAAGAAGACAATCCTTACCTGGACTATATAACCTTGACTTAAGCAATGTGATTTGCTTAAATTTGGGGATGTTTGGATAGAAACAAAATCATAGTTTTAAAAGTACTTTTATGGTATACGAATTAAACATGTGGAAGAGTTTGCCTCGATTTGTTAAAAAGGGCCTCTGATTAAGCCTCTCACAGTTATTCTCGGAATATTTGCAACAAGGTTAGGAGAAATACTATCCTAGTTTTTCTCCAAGTACATAAGCAGTCAAGGTTTATGTGAATTAAGTGTATGCTTGGTTTTAACTTGGAAAAAAGATCATAATTTTGGTGGTTTCTGACGTGAAACCGAACTCTAAGCTACATTCTGAGTTAAAGGTAGACCAAAGAAGCCATCAAGGCCACATGGGCCACTGGCATGCACTACGTGTGTATTGACCACTTCAATTTATTTATGAAAGATGGCTAACCATTAAATAATAGAGTAATTAAAGTGCTGATCATACATTTCAAAGATAACTATCGCTTCTGCTTTCAAGAAAAAGCATTAAGGCACTAAGAAGGAAATGAAGGGAAAAATAAAAAAAGTAAAAGGATTAAGGGAATATAAAAACAAGACATATATATTTATATATATAGAGAGAGAGAGAGAGTGTGAGACATAAGCAAAAGTTGCAAAAGCACAATAACTTTATTCATTCAGACCTGGAAGTGTGACAAGCCAGAAATGTAATGAAAATGATAATGACAATAAGCTTCACACGAGAAACACCCCTCCTTCTCGTTTCTCAGCTCTGCTGCACTTATTCTCTTAGAAGTGGGGAAGTTTTATTGCATTGTGAGGCTAGTGATGCTGAGAATCAGGCCCAGCAGGTGAAACTCTCTCCAACTTTCCATTTTGACCTAGCATTGACCTCTTTTGAAGGCCAGACTCACTTTTCCTCAAATTTTTGGTCACCTCACGTAACAGAGATTCACTGTCAATCTTTCTGTCTCCTTTGGTTGAGAAAGACAGAGGCAGCAGTCTTGCCTCTGAACTCACCACAACCAATGACACAAAAACAATGATGCAGAGAACAAACACGAACAACCTTGAATTCCTCGAAGCAGCCATTGTGTCTTACAGAAGTAATATCTCTAAATAACTCAACTATATCTTTGATGAGTACAAGTTGCGCGGAGCAATAACGAAGCTAGCCTATATATAGAGAATTCGGAGGAGCTTCAGATTTTGAATTTACAATTGGCATAATTGAAGATGGAGCAAGAAGAGAACAAGAATCCAAGGCAGCCATTGTCGTATCTCTTCATGTGGGTTAAGACTTTTTATGTCACAAAACACAAAGTCTGACAATGTTCTTATCCTCATTGGACTTTCTGCTCATTTTCCTGCTTTATTTCCTCTTTCTCTCTGAGGATCGATAGCCTGAGCATACAAAATGAATTCATCCTAGGTTGTCGTTTTTGCCTCCAATAAACATATTTTAGTTCCAGGATTATGCAAAGAAATAGAGCCAAGACGAAATAACCTTTACAACTTTATGAGGCCTGACGATATCCTTTTGTATTTACGTGAAGGCATGAGAGCTATTATGCTTTCTCCACACCCTTATGAGTCATGCCCACGCTTCAAAGTTGAAATCCTTCTGCGTATAACCAAATTGTTCTTTGGCTTAAATGCCATCTTTTCCATGCACGCGTAGCTCATTTCAGTTTCTTTCTTTCATGACATTGTTTGGGCAAAAAAAAAAAAATCTTTTTTGAAAAAAAATTATCTTTTATTGTCAACTAAGCTGATTCTGTCTATCTCAGGATATTTAATGGAGGATATGAAGTGTTAAATTAGTAAACTATGGCCGGTATTCGGTTGTTAATCTGTTATGCGTCCCTTGGGTTTCATTACTAGCAAGACACTTGCGATGCGGCTAAATGATAATACTTTGTTTAGATCCTCAACTTCCATAGCATTTCCTACAATTTGTTTAGATATATTGATATTGATGATATTTTGTGATCAGAATTGATGTGGGCAAGAAAAAAGTGATCAAACTCAATTGATTTGTAGATTCCACACCACTCACTTTTTTTCCCCCCAAATATTGAGAGAGATCCAAGGTTTCACATCACTTTATTTTCTTTTATTCTATATTTTTCAATCAAGTCCTTTTGATTAGACTAAAATAACAATACAAAGGATTGAACCTTTGAACAAACTCATCAGCAATTAGATTGGGGTCTCTAAAATCCTTAATTAATCAGTATTCATCTCTCTCTTTTCACCTCGTTGTTTAGATAACCTAAAGAGAATTAAGATCTGAAAAGAACCAAAACAAAAGGTTTCTTACAAATATTGTATCATATCTTGATTTTTATATAAAAGTAAAAAACAACATGACATGTATATAGAATATAAATTCGTTTATGATAAGCACGTATTGTGGTTTCCAATGTTTTTTATATTCTACATGTTCTCAGCTAAAATGTTGTTTGAAAAATCATAATTTCTCCAACTTCAACTTATCAAACCTCTAAAATGCTGTGGATCAGGCTCTCAATTGGAAGATCATCATGACAATGAAAGAAGAAAGAAAAAGTACCTTCAATTATATTTATATATATATACTCCTCCAGTCTTTAATATAGGATCTAATTGTTGAATTGATTTTGGTCCTAAATATAAAATCTATTTCTTATATTTATCAATTTTTTTCTAAATTACCCCTATAGATACTCCATCTACCATAATGAACTAAAAGATGGAGGAAGAACATTAAGAAACATGATTATGGTGTTTTAAGAAAAATATGTTATATTTTTTATAATTAGTTAACTTACCTCATTTCATTAATCTAATCAAATTAGTTAAATAGATCTTAATCTTATATAAAAGCCCGGTTAAGTTCCCAGTGACCTTAAGCACAATTATAATGATGGTGAGTAGTACAAGGCTAAGAAATTCGATATCTTTTATAGTACCACTAATATAAATATATATATATATATATATATATATAACCAAATTATTAGTGGTATGATTTTTGAAATGCAGGTTGGTACTATATAATGATAAACTATTGTAAAGTTACTCCTATATATCTTAAAATATTCAAATATATAGTGATCCACTACGCTTAAATTATATTAATTACCATCCATTTGATTTCCTTGTATGTCAACCTCTTTCTTTGACTATATAAGGGGTGTTTGGTTACAGGCAAAAACACTTCTGTAAAGTATTTTTACGCAAATTGATATAATACTCCTATCATATACTTATTTTATACTCCCTCCGTTCCTTATTATAAGAGACAAATAACCGAAGTACGTTGATCAAAAAAACAGTTAAAGTTAGTTAAGAACAATTAATGTATAAAAAGTATAATTTTTTTTCCAAAAATGCCCTCGTTAATAAGGAGAGAGAGCATGAGAGAACAATTAAATTATTAAAAG